TTTTAATTTACTTCTTTTAAACAAAGGCAGTATACAGTGTATACTGTATTCAGCAATATATTAATAAGTATTGCATTCTGAACACAGCGTACGTTTTTAATCTTACAAGTGCTGTCGAGGGAGATCAGTTTACACTGATTGTATTAATAAAATTAAAGCCTTGAGGTGAGTCCAGGTAATTCTTCCTCACTGCATGTCTCACAAGCTAATTACTTTTGACAATATATTAAAAATCTGTCTGGCAGAGAAGAGAGACTGTTATGTTTTGCATTATATATTCATATCTGCAATAACTGTCCTGATAGGAATTAACATGTAAAGCATAACGATTTTTAATTTACAATATTCAATCTCATTACATATACAAGAAATAATTGTCATAGTAATGACCTATTCTACATGCACAAGGCCTGAGGTACAATAAATGCCACATCCTGTAAACCCTTCACCCTCACGCAATCTCACATGATGTTATTGGACTAACTCTATTAGACTCTGAAACAGCTTTTCCCCTGAGGTTATTAGGCTCCTTAACACCCTTTTACCTAATTCCAATTCTTGGAAAATGATTTAAATTCATCCAGTGTTTACATTGTTCTCTTGTTCTCAATACTTGTTCTTGTTCTCTCTGTATTCTGAGACATGCGCTTATGACTGCACAAGTGCATTGACTGGTCCAGCCTAAAAAATGCTGTTTTGTCATGATTTGAGTGGTTAGAAACAACATTTATGAGACAGTTGTTGTCAGATTTCATTGGTGATTTCAAATAGGAAATTCAATCATAAGATAAGTGAACAGCTTTGGATAATTTTATGTTTTCCCATTAAAAGAGATAGGAGCTGTACATCCATGACTGAAATAGCTGCCCGAGAGGTTTTCAAAGATGGCCGCCAAGTGAAATGTTGTGGACACATGTCTTGACTTTGACTTGACTTGACCTCATGATGCCATTGGAGATTTAATGTTCAAATGATAAAACATTGTAAAGCAAATATAAGATCTAAAATCACAATAGCATGATATAGTCATTAAATAAATTTGCAGTTACAGGATTTAACAAGCGTTGTTCACAAGGCACTATTAATACTGAGCAAGTTCTAGGAACAGATTATATTTCTCATTTCTTCCTTTATTGGACGTTATGCCAACTGTTACTCAGTTAAGCATTGTTTGTCTATCTAATGTACATCTTCAATGGCTTGTTTATGTCAGATCGCTATCAATCATTGTGGTTCAGATAAAATGTATCTTATGTTGCATAGAATTGTTATTTGGGATTTGTGCTATGTATATTTTGTTGGAATAACTATTAACTTGAAGCTTTAAAAATATAACATATTGATTTGTTATTATAGCAGTCGCTGCGCTGCATGTTATGAGAACATTTCCTCTGGTTTGTCAAGGAGGTCATGATGTGCTACAAACCCCAGCAGTAAACACGATTAATGAAGGTAGTGTTTAAGCTGTATCTCATTACTCTCCTGTCTGGATCTTATTCCTGCATGATATGGATCATCTCTTGTCTCCTGCAGCACCATATGCTGAAACAGCAGCCCTACTAGTTGCTCTTAACTGAATAAGAAGCGATCAACTGAGGGCAAGCACAGATGAACTCTGGACCTAAATCTGTCTTGTTTTATGAATTTAAAGTCGACATAAACCAAAAGTTACGATCTTTCTGTTCTGGTCTTTTCTTCCCTATTGTGAGATATCGGTATCTGAGGGTTAGTTTACACGACAATGATGCACTAAAAACAGGAAAGTAGCCTATTTCTATTGCTTTTTTTCAAGTATGGACGACAACGTTGTCAAAACGATCCCCGTTCACAACTTCACATGGATCCACGAAAATGACTAGGACGCTGTATTAAGCCAGGCCAGTAGTTGACGATGTCACTTTGTAAAGAAACACCAAAGGCACCTGGAAGGCAAGCCTGCAAACTTTAGCCAAGAAAAGCTTAACAGCTAAAGCTAACGATATACGTGACATGCCTACTTCAACACGTTTTACACTAAACAGAACTTTTGTGGGGAACTGTATGTAGATTTGACCTTTTACCTTGAGAGAAGGCAAAGTCGTGTTTTTGTCGTTTACATGGGGTTAAACAATAGTATAGTTTTTCAAAAACGTGCACTTTGAAACTTTGTTTAAAAAACGTGCATTTTCAGGCCCCCGAAACAGTTGTTGTGTAATTGAACGTCCAAAATACATAAAAAGCTTTCCGATTTTTATTTGAAAATGGTGTTGTGTAAATGCCAATCAGTGAAACAGCTTCTTGGACAAAAAAAAATAAAAAATGTAGGGCAGGACTTGATGTTGTCCATCAGGAATTGATTGGATCATTGTGTTTGGATCATGCCAGTGACAGATTGCCCCACCCCCATGCCAGTAAACACGTCATCAGAGAAGGGAAGAGATGTCAACACATGAGGGAGGGGGAGTTTTTTTGATTAAAGAATATGAAGAAGCATGAATTAAAATTATATATATATATATATATATATAATGTGCACAAATGAATCATTTATAATAAATACTGCAATATTCCATAAAAAAAAAGAATTGTCAATGGTGACTTTAACGAGGCAGTCTATAAATTTCTGTTGAGGGTTCGCTGGCTGATATGGTTGTTTTGGACTTTTGTAATGGAAAAAGAGTATACAGCTAAAGACATGAAGTTACAGATAGTTATGTCAGGAATTATGAACAATACCTATCGTTATGCCAGTAATGCACTGGGTGATTATGAGACTCAGTATACCTTGTTTTAATATGATTTGATGTGTTATGCCAGGAATTTTATGTCTTAATAAAAAATAATCTATAAAATAGACACTATATAATATGCATTCTGTCAAGTTGCACATGGTGAAAGACAAATTACAACAAACAATGCTATTATCATTTTACTCAAATTGCAGAAAATGCCTTTTGGGCAAATGCCTTTGAGCCATTTTGTACTCTCACAGAGCAGGTGACAGAGGAGGTAATGAAACAGCCCAGTCAGCTTTGTGAATACACAAGCACAGAAGCATTGGGGAAATTACATTGGCTAGGAAATTAGATTCCCACTGGGAAACAGAACATCCAGGCTAAGAATGGACTCATTTAACTAATGTAAGAAAGATTCGTTTCGCCAGATTCCTTATGCTTGCAAATGCAGCATGTGAAAACAAAAGGAATAGACCGATGACTCACTAGCTTCCACATGAATATCAGTCAAGCAAACAAATGATATGCTATTTCTCATAAATACGAATCAAAATGAAAAGGTGTCCATTGATTCCTTCAAAATGCAAATAAAGCATAGATGGTCCTCCCTGCAGAACACAAAATCCAGGGGGATCCAGATCCAACTCCTCCCACCTTACATATACCTATACCAAGGGGGTAATCCATCGACCGGAAGTTGAAGCCTCGCAGGAGCTGCCATCTTGTAGCAGAACTTCACTTGCGTTAGCATTTCCATTGACTCCCATTCATTTTGGTGTCACTTTGACAGCGAATAACTTTACATCTGAGGCGTTTGAAGACCCCATTTGTCCATTATTTATTTCTAAAGAAACACTGCAATGTATAAAATGCTCCATTACCTTGTAGCTTATGTAATGGCCCCATTGATTATCCAAAAAATGTCACTTTTAATAATGACAAAATTAATACTTTTGCAAATACACTATGCATGGATCCCGCTTGTTCCAATCTGTTGCAATGTATTTTTTTTTTAAATGTGGACTGTTTTGATTTTTTTACCAATAAATAACATACTGAGATGCAAATCTGAATTTTCAGCATCATTACTCCAGTCTTCAGCGTCATGATCCCCAGAAATTATTCTAATATGCTGATTTGATGCTCAAGAAACATTTCTAATTATTATCAATGTTGAAAACAGTTGTGTTGCTTTTTGTGTAAACCATATGTATTTTCTTTGATGAAACTAAAGTTCAAAACAGCTTAAAAAATAGATTTGTAACAATTTAAAAGTCACTTTTGATAAGTTTAATGCGTCCTTAGAAATATTAAGTTAAAAGTAGGCAATTAATTTCCTTTTTAACACTTCTATTGTATTCAGGTCCATTTTGAACTGGAAGAGGCACACTACATAATTTTTAGTTCAGAAATTTTGTGAGTGTACTGTCCGTTTTTTTATAAAAGAAAAATAACAATTTAAGCTAATGCTTTTGGGCTGCAATTGGTTTATAAACATGCCAGTGCATACACAGACACAATAATCCTGAGATTAAAATAAAACGATAAACAAATGAATGGCTTAATGTGTTTGAAGAGCAAAAGTAGACCAACATATTTTAAGTTTAAATAAGGAAAGAGGAAAAAGAAAAAGTGCACATTTCACTTTGCTGCCACCTATTGATGAATCATTGCAGAATTAAAAAGGACATTAAAGCTGTTTATTATAATTTTTCCATAATAAAGTAAATTTACTTATATATATATAGGCTATATATATATATATATATTCCTGATTCACTTGTTTTTGCTGTAGCTCTGTGACATTTGTCATTTCAAAGAATTTCTTCAATTTCATTTAATAAAAAGGGGGTAAATGAAGTAATGGTAAAAACATTCAAAACCTTTGTGCATTCACTCATTATTCATTAATGATAAGTAACTGATACAATATGATTTTAGTCCAAAAATATTACCTTATGACTATTTTATAGCCTAAGCTTCTATTCCACTGGGTCCAAACAGACCCTGGAATGCTAAAAGTGTGTTTTATGCATTAGGAGGAAAAAATGAAATCTTTCTGATCCCAAACTATCCTATTACAAGGACTTGAATTTTTATCTATTCAGAAATAATAAAAACCGCAACTGACCAATCAGAATTAAACATTCCATAGCCATATGCTATTCTGATTATTTGTTTATATTTATATATTTGTTGAATTGAATTGTGCAACTGCATGCATTATTCATTGCACTGTATAATAAGTGCATGCAGAATCATGAAGTGCTCTAAAGCAGGTTTCCTTTAATAAAGCGATAATGAAAGCTTGACAGCTGGAGGCTGTAGACCGATACAAACGCGCTGTGTGGGAGGGAGAATGACAGCGGCTCTGTGGCTCTTCACCTTGGCAAGGAGGATATTTACACCGGAGAACATCACCGCCGCACGTATGATGAAAATACTTTCTGAGTAAAGAAGGGTTGTGGTCACATCGAATAACATGCGGATAAGGGAGGAAAGAGACATTTAATTGTTCGGGGGTAAGATTTAACCTGTTGTCTTACTGATAACTGTATCGCTTTTGTCTCGTTTAGAAATGATGCATGAGCGCTGCTAGATGAATAATGGAAAAATATGCTGCGATTTGATTGTGTGACTATAACAAGTCCCGTGAGAGCAATAGAAAGCAGCCTACCGTAGTGTTGTGAGATTTTCTCACAGGATGGTATGTTTTGAAAAGAAGAAAGTGATTATATTAGTGCTCACTGCTCACTGAAAGGCGTCGTTGCTGTTTTTTGTGTGTGCCATTTCTAAATTATGTTGGACTACTAAGTGCACGATTAGTTCATTTAGTTTTCATACTTCGTTTGTATTTAGACTTAGACTTATTGGGTTTTTTTCATAACACAAATTTCAGAGATTAACTTGTGCTAAACACACAACAACAATATGCTATCACAACAAAGCACGCGAGCATCAGGTCCTTTGATTGTTCCTCTTCATTTGTCTGCGTTCATCAGCCCATTTTCTATATTTTTGCCTCCGCATTATTTTGGAAAGCTTTTATACATGTCTACATATTAATTTCCTTGTTTGTGCTCATCATTATCATCTAGCTTATTGAAAATGACTGTAAATAAGCGAAGTAAAATGAGCCTGACAGTTCGTTCAGGAGCAGGTGTTGCTCTGTGCTTTTAATTTGCATGTTTCAGCACTGTTGACATACAGGCTATCTTAGTTAAACAGCATAAGCCACTATGAGACTATATGCTACATGACAGCTTGGTGGATGTGGTCTTTGTGTTTGGTTACAAAGTCGTACTGTGTAAATTATTGACAACGAACAATTCCATTTGGTTTGTTCATCACTCACTCAATGCAACACAGACGGAAAAGGCACAAAATGTGTCAGTGACGTAACACTGATATCAAAGATTGCTTTTCTTTTGATCCAGTCATAGCTAGCCTCCTTCAAAGGACGCACTGGCAGATTTCCAAGATGAGGAAGATTTCAGTAGCACAACCAACAGTGGCATCTTGGCCAAGGCTCTGCTTGCTGGAAGTGCCTAATTTGCATTAACAGAATAGATTTTTTGAGATAGCCTACTGTCCCTTCCTAAAATAGAACACATAGGGATGCAATATATCCCTTGACAAGTCATCAGTAATGATGCACACATATGCATATGAAAACAGATATAAAGTACACATTACTTGGACTTGCACAAAGGCATACAACATAGCCAAAAGTGAAATGTCACATATGGTTGACTTAACAGAAAGTGGCTTGAGGCTGCTCTTCACATGCTTTTATTACACTTGTTCAGTCGCTAGAGCCAATTTGACATCACAGGCCCCTTTCATCTCAACTGATAATGCCTATAATAATGCCCATAATGCATGTATTGAACTTTATTTACATCAGGAATATGTGCAAAATAAAAACACAAAATACATATAACTATCTTTTTGTTTATTTTTTGAAGGTATTGCTAAGATTGATCAGAATTTCATCACCTTGTGTGATTCTGTTACATGGGACTTTGTATCATTAAAAGACTTTAAAATGAAATATCTTTGCTGTACTTTTTGAGGTTGATTAAAAATCTAGATATTTATAGTTTTGTATGTAATGTGTTGCATTTAAAGGAGAACTCCGGCGCAAAATGAACATTTGGTCTAATAAAACATTGGTACCTAGTCAATCGTTCTCTGAGATTTGTTTTCATGATAATCGAATGTAAAGAGTTTTATCTCTAAAAATTGTTTAGCGTATAACGCTAGTATATGGGGCATAGAGTAATGAAAAAGAAATTGCTAGTTTATACTAAAAAGGCTCAAAATAGCCCCACACTAACACAGTAACATAATGAGAGTCCATACATGCAAAACGAAGCATTGAGAACTTTGTAAGTGTACAGACCATTTAATAAGAAGATATTTTATAAAGACAGTCCACTTCGTGTATACAGACAGGAGCCATCTTAGAAAATAGTCTCGATAAGTCGATCCCCGAACGCCGTTCATACATTTCAGAAGTTCGCTGAACTTCATACAGTTCAGATCACTCAGCACGTCGTTCCAAGATGGCTTCTATCTGTATTCGCGAAGTGATCTGTCTTTTTTAAAGTCTTCTTATTAAACGGTCTGTACACTTACAAAGTTCTCAATGCTTCGTTTTGCATGTATGGACCCTCATTATGTTACTGTGTTAGTGTGGGGCTATTTTGAGCCTTGTTAGTGGTATAAACTAGCGATTTCTTTTTACTTAGTAAATGCCCCCAGTACTAGCATTATACGGTAGACAGTTTTTAGAGATAAAACTCTTTACATTCGATTATCATGAAAACAAATCTATTATTATTATTAGACCAAAGGTTCATATTGCGCCGGAGTTCTCCTTTAATCTGTTTTGTAAGATGCTGGCACATGAATTTTCTTACACATGAACTTTCACATGAACTTTCATCCTCTTACAGATCATATTTATTGTTAAAAAAGGCCTTTTTGAAAGACATCTCGGGGACTATGGGCTCAAAAGGAGTAGAGAGACGTAAACAGGCCACCCCTGGCCAGACCCCCGAGGGCAATGTGGTGATGAGCTTCAGTTTCGAAAGCTATCAGCTGGAGGAAGAGGACTGCCAGGTGAAAGACATCTCTGATAAAGGAGTGCTGGCCCTTTCAGAACCTGGTGAGTCTCTGCAGCATATGATGTGCCTCAATGTGAGATTGTCATCTGAGTCACTAAGGATGAAGACTCACCTTGGTTGGAAAGGGTACATTACTTGGCATGTACGCTAGGTCTAATCATGTTAGGTGGAGAGTCTGTTGTCCCCACATGTTGTCTGGTTACAAAGGTCATGCTTATTAAATCAGTAGATCAGGAGAACAGGTTACTCCATGATCTTTGGTAAAAGCTAAACATATAATAAGTTATATTTTACATTCAAAGCACTAAAGACAGCAAGAGGCACAAAAGTGCTTCCATCAATCAGTTCCTCGCCCAGTGAGAGAGAGAGAGAGAGAGCAAAATGTCAAATGTCTCATACATATGCATACATATACTTCAAAGAGACTGCAGACAGGCTGGGAGCCAAATATTTAAAATGCATATATTTTGAAATGTCACACAAATAAAACTTAGATGGGACAGTGTTTCTAACTGTGACTTGTTGTTTGCGCATATAAATGTGTGTGATTTCCGTGCATAGTATTTGAAGAACCTATTCCAGACGACCGTTACCATGGGATCTATTTTGCCATGCTCCTGGCTGGAGTGGGCTTCCTGCTGCCTTACAATAGCTTCATTACAGATGTTGACTACCTGCATCATAAATTTCAAGGTACTCCATTATATTTATGCCTCGTGACTTACCAAAACTGTGAACTGAATGAATTCACTTGATTTATGTTCATTATTGTGACTCAGGGACCCAGGAATACTCTTTAGTCCACTGTAGTGGACATTCAAATTTCTCTGACGCCACTTTTACTTGGTCTTTAAAAATAACTGACATTAATTTGGAGATCACATTTAGCACTCTTATATGATGATATTTTGTAATTATCATTTAAATTGGACTCATTTTCTAATTTTTTGCAATGAATCAACATCTCAGGAAAATCTAATGGGGTTTCTAATCAAAATATGACTTTCTGTTACAAAACAGGGCATTGATTTCATACATGTCCACTGTATTGGACACCAGGCATTATCAGGCATGTTGGGAGACACATAGAGAATAGCGAAATAATAATTATGTGTCAGTATTAGATATTATTATGAAAATGTTGCCAATTATTACTCCCATTACTACATTTCTTTTTTCATCACATGTTGCCCCAAGAACACATTAATATGCAAGTTAGATACAATACATGGGTTTTGAATGGGTCATTTTACCCACATATTGCATAAAGTAAAATAGTATATCAGTTAAATTTGGTCAATTTGGTTTAAAAAAAATCCTGAAAACCTAAAAATTGATTGGTGAATGGGAAAAAATCTTATTGTTTTTGCCTATACATGTCATTTTATTTTTTAAGTGGAGTCCTGGTGTCCACTACAGAGCCGTAGCATAACATTTTAATAAAATATATTTAAAAATCCATTTGTTTCTTATGCTCTAAACAACGGAATGACGTGGACAAAAATGCTAAATTATAGCTAGATATATAAAATATATCTGTTATATATGCTAAATATATACATTTTTGTTTTTACAAATGTCTGTACACAGTAGTATATTATGAGATATTATATATATAAAATTTTGGGGTCAGTATGATTTTTTAAAAAGAAATTCATACTTTATTCAGGAATTAAATTGAACAAAAAACAATAAAGACATTATAATGTCACAAATAAATGCTGTTTTTTTACTTTCTATTTATTTACAGAATCCTGAAATAATGCATCACTGCTTCCTTTTCACAGAAATAATAAGCAGCACAACTGTTTTCAGCAGTGACATTAACAACAAATCAACAAAGTTATCCAAATGTCTTTTTACTGTAATTTTGAACAATTACATGCAGCCTCAGAGAGCAAAAATCATACCGACCCCAAATGTTTAAACAGTACTGTAGACTGTAAATATAATAAAAATTGTGAATTTTGATGAATTTTAAATATAAAACAAATGATCAGCAGAAGGTACAACTTGCAACTCAGGTAGTAAATGGGTTATTATTTCTTCCACAGCTCCTTTGGTTAACATTTTAATCTCACGATAACTGTTAACTTGTTATGATTATGATTTTTCTTTTAAAACAATTCCAAAAAGTCTCAAACATCTGATTATGTTAATATTTCAGGTCTGATATCTGAAAATGCATGAATCTTCTCTTTGTGGTTCGTGCATTCAATTTGGAAGTCATGTCCTCTGTCTTCTGTGCCCTTCAGGAACATCTATCGTGTTTGACATGGGTTTAACATATATTCTAGTGGCCCTAGTGGCCGTGATCCTAAACAATGTCCTGGTGGAGATGCTGAGCCTGCACACCAGGATCACTGTGGGTGAGTCTGTTTATCTAGAGAACAAAGGGATGGGGGAGGAGGCCGCTGATCGACCTGAGACAGCTGATGGCCTGAGGGGAAAGCTGCGTCACTCATCTGAACCTGAAGAATAACACTCGCAAAATACTGTGAAATGCATCACATATAATGGAAACCGGAGAAAAACAAAGGGAAAGTGCTTGATAATGACACCACAAAACACACACACTGCCACAAAACCTTCACTTGTGACCATCCAGAATGGGAGCAATCTGGAAATAATGAATGCTTTTAAAGAAATAGTTCAGTATTTCATGCTTTTAAAGAAATAGTTTGCCCCCCTGGAGGGGCCGAATAGTGCTAGATTGTGCTACCACCAACAGCACTGTATTGGTTTTAAGGGTAGGTATGGGTGTTAATAAAGCCTCAAACCACATGAATATGATTCTGGTAGTACAATCTGAGAGGTAGCATTTTTCACTATCGAATTCTGCTACCCACTGTTTTAATGGAAGGTAGAGGGTAACACAAATCATCAGAACACCTGCCAATACACAACATGTTTTTTTCCTTTCCACAACTCTAGTTTTACGTTGTCTTTCAATGTAAACACATGCTAGTCTTTAACCATTGCGCTCACATCTTTTCATGCATGACTCAAGTTAAAATAAGTTTAAAGTTGGCACGGAAGTTGAGATTGTCATTTTTTTCGTATGTCCGACTGAAACGGCTTCTGAAATGAGAAATAAATGTAGGATGGGGCTTGATTTCGTCCTTCGGGAATTGATTGGATCGTTGGAGGTTGGGCTTTGCAAAGTAAATGGAGGCAGATTTGAATGCCAGCAAATGCCAGTTTACATTCAGTCTGAGAGATGGTGCACCGATAGCCACACCCACATCGGATCTGGCCACACCCTTTCACCATGGCACGTGACCGAAAGAGAAGAGAGGTTGTTTCGAGGGGTTGAGGGAAGGGTAATGTATTTGATTAAAGATTACCGGGATAAGGGTACATGAATTCAAAAAAAAAAATAATGAAGTGCACAGATAAATCATTCATAATAAACACTACAATATTACATATAAAAAGAAGATTTGTCAAATTTGATTTTGTGTCGACTTTAACTTTTAAAAAAACACTTCTCTAGGCTGTGCATATTTTACTCTCAACTGTCCCGTGTCTCTGTGTAAATGCCCCCTATGCCCTTTTTTTCTTCTTCTGTGGAACACACAAGATGAAAATTTGAAAAATGTCTCAGTTTTCATCTTTCCAGAGATGGAATGACCCTTTAACTATTGCATTACTTTTATGAAGTTTTATTACTGATGATAAAGTATTATGTTTACAATCCGTTTATTTCACGAAGTTTAGTTTAAAATAAAAATAAATTAAGCTAAATTCATGAAATTACTCTAAGCACCTGACAGAATCCTTTAAAGGTTCTATAGAGAACCTTTTCTTCTAAGAGTAGGGTTAGTAGGGTCTTCTAAGAGTAGTTTTTTTGTTTTGGACCCCATTAACTTTCATTACATATTATTACTAAGACATTTTTCAAAATGAATTTTTGTGTTCCACAGAAGAAAGAAAGTCATACAAGTTTGAAACGTTAGGGTGAGTCAGTGATTTTTGGGTAAACTCCCTTTAAGAGCCCTCCAAAACCAAATCAGGCCTGTTAAAACATCTACTATGAAATATTCAATGATATTACTTCCCAAAATAGTTTGATTTTGAGCTGTGCTTTATCAGATTTGTTTATATCCGAGTTGATCTTTTGCAGGTTACCTCTTTGCACTTGGACCTCTGTTTTTTGTCACTATTTTTGATGTGTGGCTGGAGAAGTTCAGTACAAAACAGGCGTATGTCATCAATCTGATGTCTATGGGCACTGTGGCGTTTGGATGCACAGGTATTTTCCTTTCCGCAGAGTCATGTTGGGCTAAATTAGGCTCAGAACATTGTGTTCTCAAACATGTCCCTCCATAACAGTCTTTTTTACGCTGTTGTGTCTCCAGTGCAGCAGTCCAGTTTCTATGGATACATGGGGATGCTTCCCAAGCGCTACACACAGGGCGTGATGACCGGAGAGAGTAAGAGGCTTTTTGTCATCAAATGTGATCATGAAAACCATGAAAAACCATGATGTTTGGGCAAAAACAAGATTCTCATTGTTTGTTTTTTGTTTTGTGTGTGTGTAGGCACGGCAGGAGTAATCATTTCACTCAGCCGAATCTTCACCAAACTACTGATCAAAAACGAAAGGGAGAACACCATCATCTTCTTCGTCATTTCCATCTGTATGGTGCTGGTTTGTTTTGTCCTGCACATGCTGGTGCGACGGACACGTTTTGTCCAATACTACACGAATCTGGCACGACAGGGCCTGTCCCATGCCAAAGACCACTCACACCATGGAACCCAGTACCAGGTCCACCATGATGTAATTACAGAAGAAGTAAGATTTGTAAGTTTTGCATGTCAAATGTGAGAAGGACATATTAAGATGAACCTGTTTGCAGCCTTTATCCAATAGTGATTCTGTTATTGTTCTGAACTAGCAAATGGCATTTTCACCACATCTAAAAAAAAAAATGAGATTAAAAAAAATTGAAGAGTCTCAGACTCCTTGATGTCTTTAAGGCTAACTTTTTATGAATTGTAAATAACACATTTTTTTACAGCTTTACTGGCAATGATACACATTATAAACATACATTAACATTAACGTCTATTTTGTATTGATATAAATATATTAATAAGTAAATTATAAAATGAAAACATTAAAAATACAATTTGTACATATTAGCTATATAATACATCATAATCTAACAATATATAAAAAATATATTAAATGCAATTTGCTAAAATATACATAATACATAAATTAAATGTACTTTTTTATTTAAGTAGCTTATTTCAAGCATGATGTTCACTAATGTTTACTTCTTTGTACTTAATTCCAAGTGCACGAACTATTCTTTTATTTTAAGTTTAAGTTTTATTTTAAGATTAAAAGTGTGGAACAAGGGTAAAACAATGAAATATATATCCGACAGAATGCAAAATAGAAGCTTAGCTAAATTAAAATGTTTATTAGAAAGTGAAAGGTTGATGTGTCTGTAGTCATCAAACCTGTATAAGCAACTATAAGACGAGCAGGGTTAAAGCCCGTTCACATCACAACTATAACGATAACAATATCCAGTGAATGAATGATTAAAACATTGAAAGCCAATCTGAATCTTGCTGATTTAAAGAGCTTGAGCATTTAAAGCACGACAATAGCAGACAATAATCGTCAGCTGTAGTGGACACTAATATAGTTATCTTTATAGTTATCGTTAGTTGTGAACCAACCCAGTCATATGGTTTGAGTGTGTCCACAATGTGCTCTAGCTTTCTCATACTTTTGCTTTAAGTGTTTTTGTCTTAAGTGTAATTACTGCTGTCCAGTCCAACATCTGAGGTCTGTTTTTGCAGGCAAAAGTCCCAAAGACCTCTGTGTAAATTAAACAAATCTTCTCTGCATACTCAGGAGTGTTTTCTGTAAAATCACATATAACGTCATTTTATTTGTGCCGGTCAGTGCTCTGAGACTGAGAAGGAGACAGAGAGCATGATTTAAGTGCTCACTGCTTATAGGCAGAGTAATATATGAATGCACTTCAGAGTAACCTCATGTTTTTCCTGTGGGTGACAGACTGAGCACTCAGCCGTTTCTCCCCGCAAGATTTCTTCATAAATTCCTTGTTTAGAAATCCTAAATTATTGCTAGTGGGATTTCTATCCTAAATTCTCCATGAATGTATTTTCTAAGAATCAAAACTGGATTCCCTATTTTTATTTATATTATTAATAATTTCTTACATTTATATTATTTTTTATTAGTGTTTGATCCAGTATTTAGAATTGGTCCAAATTCAATTTATGAGAAAATAATTAATAAACAATTAAATTAAAGTTTTTTTTTTTTTTTTTGTCTGGCCAGGATTCACGGCTGGTTTTTAAAGTATAGCAAAGACAAAATGCCCCAAAATGAGGCTGTATTTGTATCTTAAAGATTTGTATCTTATTTTTGATATATGCAATGCTCTTCTATGCTAGAGCTTAAAGGTGTAGCTAGCTACTCTGAAGGGGTATTTCTCCTGAGCAGTTCCCTGTCTGTGCTGCCGTAGGACCCGAATGCTCTTGTTTTATTCTCAGCAAATTAAGGAGAGTGGTTTTACTAGCTCAGCCAGAGACTTAATCAAGTAATGGTCCTCCTCACAAAGCCCCTACAGAAATGCAAGTTCATCAAGAGAAGAATTACAAATTCATTGCACGCTCTTACAGAGTTGCAGTGACCTGCTTGATGTGTTCGATTTTGCTACATGTATTAGTGAATGTATTAGCAAGGTTGCCATACTGAACTAAAAACAATTATTGATGGTCACTCCACTGTCCTATGCAGATATAATGTATTCAGTATGAATTGTTCAGATGTCCTGTCTGTTTTCAAGGGTAATGGTGCAGTGGGCTCCTCCCCAGCTGAAGACGGATGCACAGATTTTGCTGGAGGAAACACTTACATAAGATTTGACGTTCCCAAACCAAAGATTAAAAGGAGCTGGCCAGGCATCAAAGGTGTGATCTAATTTACAATACTTTATTTTATATATTACTCCTCATCCATGTTACAAAGAATGTATGATTTAGGGATGCATCAATATTACAATTCTATCCTAAACGGATTATTATATATTATTTTCATGTCTTGGCCAATAACTGAATGGTTGATATCAAAAACCTATATTATTTTGTCTAAATAAATAAAAATAAAACACTAAAATGGATTTTAAATACTAAAAATTAGTTAAGGCACAACACCATTATAATGTACAATTTGAAGTCATTTGGACTTCACCTCAAACGTAATGTTAAAATATAACTGTAAATGTGTAAATATATAAATGTAAATATATGTATGTAATATTTTCAGATAACTTATATGTTACTATTACCGATACATTGTGCATTCCTAATAAGCTAAAAGTTGCATATATTCTACCATTTAAAAGTTTAGGTACATTTTTGGTCACTTTTTGAATGAAGTCTCTTATGTTCACAATGGCTGAATTTATTTGTGACAGTAAAAAACATAATATTGTGAAATATTACTACAATTTAAAATGTATGTTTGTATGTAAATATATATTTAAAGTATAATTTATCCTTGTGATGGTAAACCTGAATTTTCAGCATCATTACTCCAGGGCCTAATGGAGTTTTGTACAGAGTTTTTTTTTTTTGTTGTTGTTGTTGTTGTTGTTGTTGTTTGTTTTTGTTTTTTTAGTGTGCGTAACAAATTTAGTGAAAGTCTACTTTGAAGATTTGCAATTTAGATTCTCAACTCCAGAATTCAGCACTACATGGCAATGCTTAGAGGTTGGAATAATGGCAGGATGCTCCATTTCTCCACTGGCTTTTACCATGGCAATGCAAGTAATCATTAGGGCCATTAAGATGGGTAGTAGGAGGAGAGCGTTTGGCTTCTGGGATGCGACTACCACCAATAAGAGCATACATGGATGACATGACAACCATGACTACAACAGTAGCGTTCACTAATTGCAGTTACTGAGTAAGTTTACCAATAATATTGAATGGGGACGAATGCAACTTAAGCCCTCTAGTAGATAAAGCATTCTTCATTAATGGTGAGGCAATACCAACAGTTTCTGAGAAGCCAGTGAAGAGTCTTGGGAGATGGTACGATGGGGATCTAAAGGACACAGTTCGAGTGGGAGAAGTTAGATGACTTCAGTGGAAGGGTTGAAGAGCATAAACAGCTGTGCTCTACCAGGCAAACTAAAACTCTGGTGCTTTCATTGTGGTCTTCTGCCAAGGTTGCCGTGACCACTGACTGTGTACGAGGTTTCTTTGACAACAGTGGATAAGCTGGAAGCGTTAATAAGTTCATACAGTTCATAGATCAGGAAATGGTTGGGAGTTCCACGTTGCCTCAGCAGACTGGGACTTTATAGTAAAGGAATATTGCAGCTGCCAGTCTCTACTTTAACCGAGTTTAAGTGTGCCAAGGTCAGGCAGGAAATGACCTTAGTAGAGTCACATGACAAATGTGTAAGGGAGGCACCTGTGTTAAAAACTGGTAGAAAGTGGTCAGCAAAAAAATCTGTTGTAGAGGCAAAGGCTACCCTTCAAAATTGGTGATATCGTGGGACAGGTACAGCACTGAAGAGGGGGTTTTGGGCTCAGTTTAGCTCCTCCTAAATGGCACAAGGCAGGCCCAGCTCAAAGGAGGAAGCTAGTACTCAACAAGGTGTGAAAGCAGGAGGAGAGGATGAGGTGTATAAAGGCCATTTCCCAAGCCAAGCAGGAAGAATGGATGAGATGGGAGAGTGTGGAACAATGCAAGATGGGCTGGCAAGACCTTTGGTCAAGTGAAGAGTATAGGATCAGTTTCCTTATCAGCTCAATATATGATGTTCTCCCATCACCACAGAACCTAAACCTCTGGGTAGGAGAGGATCCCTCTTGTCCTTTGTGTTCATCACCTGCCACATTAAGGCACATTCTGACAGGATGCGGCTCTTAGCGAAGGTCGGTTTACTTGGCGCCATGACCAAGTACTGCGATGTCTGGCTTTAGCATTGGAAGGCAAGCGTAACATGACCAATAAGTTGCCACTTGTTCTAGCAAAACATTACACGCAGAAGACAATATTCCTCCGCCGGGTTTATCCAGTGGAAGTGGGTTGTCTAGGATTTGTGGCACACTCTACAACCCGGCTCCTCAGAGACGTCGGATTCAGTGGCCAAGAGTTGTGTCGCACAGTAAAGAACTTATCTGAAGCAGCAGAAAGGAGCAGCAACTGGCTGTGGTTGAGATGGAAAGATTATAGCTGACCATGTACAGGCCGCCACACTACGCTATGGTTTCGAAGAATTCTTGAAAAACTTGAAGAGTCTGTCGAATTATTTTTACAATTTGCATAGTTATCATAGTTATTACAATCCTGTGTGCTGTATTTTGCGTGAATGAGGATTTGTGTTGGACAGATATTGTTGTGTTTTGCAGTAGGTAGTACGGAATCGTTGCAAGTCTTGCAACTGAACCTGTTTTAAAGACAACAGTGGGGCTTCGACAGCCTTAGTCAAGTGGGTTGGCTAGTATAGTTGGGTTGCGGTGAAATTGTGGCGTTAGAGATTGTGCTTAGGATATTGAGGTTTGGTCACATCAAGGGTTTATGCCACTGAACTACGAGGAAGGAGCAACCTCAGCAGCAGGAGGGATCTCAAGCACAATAGAAAGAAAGAAACGCTGATGTACAGGTCAGTTGGATGGAGGGGGTTGACTCGAGCCCTCTTGAGGTGTCGTGGCCTAGTCGACGAAACACTGGACGGAAGGTGCCTACTTGAAGACAGACAGAAATGTACCCTACTCGGCTCAATCCAGACGGTTGTCATGCTGATCTGCTGAGGAGACCACACTGTGACCGCTCACCCCGGAGCCAGCATCGCATCCGTTGCTGAAATATACTTCAGCCATTAACACCAGACACGGAGGGATATTCACATCACCATATGGAAGGTAGACTAAATTGATACATAGGTAAAGCTACGTCTTAGTTGGTGTCAATCTTGGCCAAAGTACCTACTCTCGTGTAATGGAAATCAAACAATCCAGTCTTCAGTGTCACATGATCCTTCAGAAATCATTCTAATATGCTGATTTGCTGCTCAAGAAACATTTCTTATTATTATCAGTTTTTTTTCAGGATACCTTTGATAGAAAGTTCTAAAGAACAGCATTTATTTGAAACATTAGAAATGGCTTTACTGTCACTTTTAATCTAATGCCTTCTTGCTGAATAAATCTTACTGACCTCAAACCTTTGAGCGGTAGTGTAGTACTGTCAAAAGCACCTTCATGTTATTGGGTTAATCGAGCAATGACCTCCCTCTGTTGCAGACATGATCCTGCATCGTTATGTGGTTGCCAGGGTGATCTGGACTTACATGCTGTCTATTGCCGTCACTTACTTCATCACGTTGTGTCTTTTTCCTGGACTGGAATCTGAGATCAGGAATGTCACAATGGGGGAATGGCTGCCCATCCTGATCATGGCCATCTTCAACATATCCGACTTTGTGGGCAAAGTATGTTCAGAGAGATGGTGACATAACAGAGTATTTGTTGCTTTGAACGTTCTCTGAAAGCATTCGATGTCTAATCTCGTCTATCCGTGTGTAGATCTTGGCAGCCATACCGTATGAATGGAACGGAACTCGTCTTCTCTTCTGCTCCTGTGTGCGAGTAGTTTTCATCCCTCTGTTCATCCTGTGTGTGTATCCCGCTCAGAAGCCCATCTTCAGCCACCCGACATGGCCTTGCATCTTCTCTCTCTTCATGGGCATAACTAATGGCTACTTTGGCAGTGTTCCCATGATTCATGCTGCAGGCAAGGTGGCACCTGAGCAGAGGGAGCTGGCAGGTAAATCTATCACTCCTTTTAGATTCATGGAGTATAAATGCAGATGAACAGGTGTTTGTATACAAGTCTAAACCTTCAGAAAGATGCATTTATAATGTCCTCTCTAGAGATGCAACTGGCAGTACATTTAATTTGGGGTTTTTTGTCCCACAGGTAACATAATGACTGTGTCCTACATGACTGGACTGATGTTGGGCTCTGTGGTCGCCTATGCTGCCTACAGTTTCACCGCTTCAAGCTCCATCTTACACTCAGAGACTGGCTACAACTTCACCCAGGGGTACTAGTACCCTATAGTTCACGCCAAAAAAACATGTCTGTTCCTGTCATCAATCTCATCAGGCAGCACCTTTGCCACACTGTGTAGCAACTCCGCAGTTCCCATAAATCAGACCTCTGCTGCAGGCTTCTTTTGGCCCACCTGCAATGCTGTGTGCCTGTGAATGTAGTCAAATAGATGAAGAAACAAGCTTTGACACTGTAAAGAGTTATATATATATATATATATGTGTGTTCTAAGTTGTGTTGCCTCTTTTGTTCTCTGAAAGTGTTTTCTTCATGTTGCCAAATGTTCTTTTGACTGCGTTTTGGTTAAGATGCCAAATGTTAGTTGTGTGGTGATAAAGCTGGCACCACTGTGAAAATCACTGACTCCACATTTTGTGGTGTTATATAGTATTGACAGGCAAACATGAACGTACATTCTGACAGGACTGAGGAACTGTACTAGATGAGGGTCATTATGTCTAGATGCATGTAAAAGGGATTTGCTGAAAATAACATCATAGTCAGTGCAATGTGGATACTGGACCTTTTTGCTAAAGCTAACTGAATGTAAACATATCTAAATAAATGTTTTTTTTTTTCTTTGTAGACTTTCTTGCATTTTTCTTGTAGATTTTTTTTGTAAAGTTATCTTCATTTGGGGTGTGTGACAGTATTATTTTAAACTGCAGTCAAATCACCTGTTTATATAGTGCTTTATACAATACATATTGTTGCAAAGCAGCTTTACAGAGATAAACAGGAAAATATTGTTTCCATGGAAAGCAACAATGCTGTAACTACTAAAAAGACAATAGTGTCATTGTTCAGTTAAAGTCAATTTGGTGTTGATTCAGTTCTGTTTAATAGAGTAAAGTTCATAAATTATTATGGATTGAGTTAAATTCAACTAAAGCTCAGAGCTCTGCACTAAATAGTACTGTCATCTTAAAGCCCAGTTCAGTTATCATCGAATAATAGTATCAGTGCAGTCACTTCATTAATACTGCTGAATATTAAGTGTCTCTCTAACTAAACAAGCCAGAGGCAACTGGCATGTCTCCCAAACTCCATTGGTGACAGAAATGGAGAGAGAGAAAAACAACTTGGGAGAATCCAGGGGCAGGGCCTGTTCTCCTCTGGCCAAACGAACACACAAGGTATGATTGATTCCCGGGTGCATAATAAGTCAGATTGTGGATTGATGTCATTCAGTACATTTAATCCTGTTCATAACCAAAACATCCATTTTTCAAATGGCAAAATCCTTACATGAAAGATTAACTGTAAGACTTAATAAACCTGATTATATATTTCTGTAGTTCACTTTATGACATTAGGCCTATACATTAAGAAAATGTAATGCTGCAAGCATATTTAATGTCATGGCTCCTTCCCACACAATTTACACGTTACTAAAATCATTTAGAATATCATAGATTCATATTTAAAGGGATAGTCCACCCACAAATGAAAAGTTCACCCACTGTCAAATGAAATTTGAATAAAAAGTCTAGAATTTTTCTTCCACAAATCTTTTCATTTGTGGGTGAACTCTCCCTTTAAGCATCCTCTTTTCGAGACTTAAAGGTATAATCCACCCCAAAATGAAAATTATGGGGATATTTATAAAGGAAGATATTTTGAAGAACGATTGGAACTTTGGCACGATTGTTTTTTTTTTTTCTACAACAAGTTAATGGTGCCAAACAACTGTTTGGTTCCAATCGTTCTTTGTGTTCCAACAGAAGAAAGAAACTCATAGGTTTGCAACAACTTGAGGGTAAGTAAATGATAACAGAATTTTTTTGGGGTGGAGTATCCCTTTAAGTAGCCTAACTTTAACTTTTTATGTTACAAAGTAGGCCTATGTGTTTGAATGTAGCCTAATAATTCTCGTTGGTATCACATTTCTAGTGCAACTGAGCGATTTCAATTACGCTACGCATGTTTGTTTGTTGGATGATTTTCTTTATAGAGGATAGGGCTGTCACAGGGACAAATGAGATGTTTATAATAAGACAACATATTTTAGTAATAGGCCTATCAATTAGATCGCGGGCCATTTTTTATGTGTTAGGGTTAATGCCTGTCGAGATGTGCACTGCATTGTCACGACGGCGAGGCGTCCTAAGTCCAATCTCAAAGGGCATTATACCACCATGGTCACTTGCCAAATATCTAATAATGATATTTCAATTAGTTTTACAATCGAACTCTAAAGTTTTTACAAACAATAACTTGATTTCCCTGAGGGTCACGCTTGCCTGACGGTTTATTTAGCAACCGGAGATATAGTCCGCTCAGCTAGACTGACTCAATTAGTTTTTAATGGACACCCTACAGCCAATCAGAATCGAATATTCAATCAGACTATGTTTAAAATGTATTAAACAGCTTGCTACATGTGCACTCTTCAAGACAGCAGATGGCGTTGCTGCACTACGTTTTAAGACTAGCATACATTACAGAAACTTTGTCAAGTTTTATATAATTTTATGTTGGTTGTATGCGTTGCATTTATGTTTACAGTTAAATCTGATTAAACGCAAATTATAACTTTGCTCATGCTATATGCAAAATGCAGCTCATGTCCTCATGAGTTAATGCAGAGGAGATGAATTACTGGTTTAACGGCAGAACATTCTGGAGATAGGCTACTCTGTACTGCTGCTATGAAGAGGTAACACACAGGGATGGTGAGATAATCAGCCAAATCCATTACAATGTTTCATTCTCAGTGAGAATGAAAATGTAATTTGCCATCAAATTTAAGCAGACGATCCCTGTCTGGATATCAGACACAGTACAGATTTCCTCCTAATTTAGCTGACATATTCGTAATACATTCACATAAAACCTGCTGGGTTGGTATTAGCCCTCACCCAATTATTTTTTTACTGAATATAATGACTGTATGTTATTAAGTTTTAATTGCATCCAGCAGGAAAAGCTTATTTCCATAATTTTAAAATATTTAGTCACTAGATTTGCAGAAGGCCAACTTTTAGATGGACAGCCATCCTATGGCAACCTGAGGCTGCTCAAGGGCACAATGGTGAAGATGGGAGATCCTGGTCACTCTCCAGCTCATCAATTGACTCTACTGGGGTTTCAAAATGGCAACCCTTAAAGGGATAGTTCACCCAAAAAAATAAAATTGAGCTTCTGTTTATGTTTGCTGATCAATGTGTCTCTCCAGATTTTTTTTACTAAATCGCTCAATTCAAATGGATTAGTTTTTGAATATGATCTCTTTATAAACTTTTGGAATCGTCAAAGTGGTAGTTGCAAATCTCACAGATTTGCTTTCAAACATCTTCATTTGTGTTCCAAAGATGAACGAAAGTCGTACAGGTTTGGAACGACATGAAGTTGAGTAATTGATGACAGAATTTTCATGTTTGGGTGAACAAATCCTTTAATGTTTAAGAAGGAATTATGTAATATATGAAGAGTTCAGATGCAAAAGCCTCTAAGTGCCATTTGAAATTTTCTTCTAAAATTATCATTTTTATCAAGCTTGTGTATTTAAGTTCAGTAATTTCACTTAAATGTCAATGAAGATTACCTATTAATTGTCATTTAAGTGAAATTACTGAACTTAAATACACAAGCTTGATAAAAATGGTCATTCTAGAACAAAATTTCTAATGGTACTTAGAGGCTTTTGCATCTGAACTCTTCATATAGCCTACAAGAGAATTGGCAAATGAAATGAACCAGAATCCAAAACCAAAACATGAATTAACCATTAGCCTGTTCTTTAACAAGTATCAACAGCATCATTATTTAACCCTTATGCTGCATTAGGGACATTTTTGGTCTTTTGCAGTTTAATTTCTTTGACCATTTTGGCTGTTTTAATGCAAATGGTATGAAATTTGGCAAAATTGTGACTTTTTGGATACATGTAAAAAATGTGATCCCATTTTGCAAAATATGTATAACACAGACTGTGTAGATCAAATAGTAACACTCAGCACCATAAAGACCAAAAATGGCCCATTGAAACCCATTAAAACGTTGTTTAAATCTGAGGCTGTCAGTAATACATGAAACATGATTTTTGCACAAACATCCTTTCATTTTGAAGCAAAAGCATTATATTTGCATTATATAGTGTATTCCACCAGATGACGTCACTACATATTTATTCCCTATGGGTGGAAATGCACCTTATTTTAGGCAATAGGCAATGTTTAATAGGTGGCCATTTTTGGTCTCTAACGCGCTAAGTGGGATTTTTTGCAAAGTGGGACTGTGATAATCCAAATCTAAAGTTTTCTCTTTGCATTTAGTTTATTGAAAATAATTGAATTTTTGTGTTTTTTCCTCTTATACAAATCGATGGTTTCGCAAACAAAACGGTTAAAATCCTGAAATTGAATACATTTTTGGTAGTTATGATGAGGACTGATGCTGGTTAAAAGATTTAACTTGGTAAAAGTGGAAAATAATAATAATATATAATATTTTAGGCAATGTTTAATATGTGGCCATTTTTGGTCCTTAATGCACTCAACGGTGTTAAAAATCTAATGCAGCACAAGGGTTAAACAGCTATTTAACCTCAACAATACCGGAAAAATAATAATAGCCTAACACTTTATTTTAAGGTGATGTAGTTTCATGTTAGTACTTGTACTTACTATATAGTAATAACAGTAAATTATGCATAATTACAAGTAACTAAACCAACCCCTAACCTTACTCAGTAAAATAAAATGTTACACCACAATCTGACTTTCCCTCAAGCTTATATAAAATAACAGGAATTGGGATTTATCAGCTACCATTACACTCTTGTTTTCACAAAACCACCTGAGCGTACCGTAAAAACATTATGTATAGTAGTGTTGGAACCACGCTGGCCTAATTAACTCCATGGAGACTTAAAATAGGGTGTAGACTTGGTTACAATGAGGCTTCTAATTTTGGTCTAGCCGCTGGAGGGTTCCCGGTGTCTAATAGTACAGTTCCTGAACATTTTTCACTCTGCTCCAGTTCTCTGGCACTTTGTTTTGAGCAGCCTCCAAAACTCTGGAGGAGATGGATCAACTCGTTGAAAGTTAAACGGGCCAGGATGTGCCAACTGACGTCCAATTCATCACTGGGAATCATCTTCTGTCCTTTGTTATAATCCCACTTTTCTCCCTGTCCTCTAAACTGAATACACACCAATAGAACAATGTCAGAAATGTTTACTGACCTTACTTATTTTGTTTAACTACACTGCAACTCACAAAAAACATGTTTAAATGAAATATCAATTTAACTTGAAATTATTTTTTAAACACAAATTACACTACCATTCAAAAGCTTGGGATCTGGAAGTTTTTAGGTGTTCAAGTGCAAAGTGCTGAAAACCTATTGTATTTGTAAGGATTTAAACAAAAAAAAAAAACAAAAAAAAATCCCCTAAAACGCATCGTGCAGCCCAAACCGTAAGACCTAGAGACTTCAAATTGGGGAGAACCAATCAGAGTATGAGCTGATTGGCCCATAGGTGGCGCTACAGCAACCAAAAGTACTAAATTGCTCATAACTCCTAGACTGTTTAAAGGAGAACTCTGGTGCAAAATGAACCTTTGGTCTAATAAAACATC